TACAACAAAAACAACAAATAAAAACCATCTTTCAGTTTAAAACTATCCTGTGTGTAAAGTTGGGCTGAGCAGGTGTGACTAGTCCAAAATTATCCAGTGAGCATCCATGATTGAGGATGGTCTAGAAACTGGCTTTCCCTCCTCTTAATTCAACACTTATCCATGGATTACAAAATTCTATTATTTTTTAAAATGATTAAGCCTTAAGTCTCTTTCTATAAAGTGTTGCTTGTCTATGTTGTCTCCTTAATAATAAGTGATCAAATTGGGAAGATACTTTCCAAAAGTTTAGCTTTTTTGTACTAGCTTTATGGCAGAACATGGAATATTTTCTTTAAAACCTATTTGGAGGTCTATAAGGTGATAAGGATTCAATATCAGTTTGAGAAACAGTTTATTTTGGATTAACCTAACTATTATACTAAAATAATGTTGTGCACTGCCTAGAATTGGCAACTATACCAAATTTGATGAATGAATGAATGAGTGAATGAATAATATATAAGTAAAAATACAGGGCATCCAATTAATGTGGCCTATCTGTAGATAAAGAAACTTGGTGGGAAGATATTTATCTTTAATTACCTGCTATGTTGCATGTACTACTATAATCCATTATCTAGATGACAACATTTTTGGTTTGTTTTAAACTGCTAAGGAAGTTTGGAACACGTTAATATCTGATGGACTGGGAAGTTTTTTTATTTTTTATTTATTTCATTTGGTTTGTCAATTGCTTACAAGATAATAGGTATAAGTAAAAACATAGTTATGAATACATGGATACATATAAGAAAAATAAAAGAAACAATAGGACAGGGATGGTAGGCATGTTGGTGCGCTTATGCACGCCCCCTTCAGATCTCTTAGGAAAAGGGTGAGGTCAATAGTAGAAAGTCTAAGGTTAAAGTTTTTGGGGTTTGAGGAAGAAACCACAGAGTCAGGTAGAGTATTCCAGACATTGACCACTCTGTTGCTGAAGTCGTATTTCCTGCAGTCAAGTTTGGTGCAATTAACCTTGAGTTTGTATCTATTGTTTGCTCTTGAGTTGTTATGGTTGAAGCTGAAGTATTCATTGACAGATAGGACATTGCAATGTATGATTTTATATACTATTCTTAGATCAGACCAAAGGCAGCATAGTTCTAGGTTTTCTAGGTCTAGAATTTCAAGTCTGGTGGCATAAGGTATTCTGCAACAAGTAAAGGAGTGGAGAACTCTTCTTGTGAAATATTTCTGGACTTTCTCAACTGTGTAAATATCAGATACGTAATGTGGGTTCCAGACTGATGAGCTGTATTCGAGTATTGGTCTAGCAAATGTTTTGTATGCTCTAGTTAGTAGTGTAATATTACTAGAGAAAAAGCTACGTAAGATTAGGTTAACAACTCTTAATGCCTTTTTGGCTATGAAGTTACAGTGGGCTCTTAGATAATTCGAGATGAGTACTCCAAGATCCTTGACAGTGTTTGGATCATCAACAAGGTCTTCACTATTCAGCCTGTATTTTATTTTCTGATTTATTTATTTATTTTTGCCAATATGTAAGACAGAGCATTTATTTGGTAAGATTTGAAGTTGCCATTTGTTTGACCATTCTGATACATAGTCGAGGTCTTTTTGAAGGGTAGCAGTATTGTCTGTGGTGTTGAATAGCTTTACATCGTCAGCGAAGAGAACGCAGTTGCTCTTAATATGATCACAGAGGTCATTTATGTAGAGTATGAAGAGAGTTGGTCCTAGAACACTGCCTTGGGGGACACCACTGTTGACAGGTACAGAATTTGATAGGATGCTCCCAATTTTGACTGTTTGACAGGAATGCTTCTATCCAGTTATGCAGGTGTCCAGAGATACCATAAGATTTTAGTTTTAGTAGTTTGTCGTGTACCACCGAATCAAAGGCTTTACAGAAGTCTATGTAGATTGTGTCTATTGCTTTGCCCTGATCGAGTTGTGTAGTCCATATGTTTTTGCAGTGTAAGAGTTGCAGATTGCAGGATAGTTTTTTTCTGAAACCAAATTGTTTATGAGAGAGTAGGTTGTTTGTCTCTAAGTGGAGGATAATGGATTGGTTAATAATTGATTCCATGACTTTACAGGTGACACAGCATAAAGAGACTGGTCTGTAATTTTCAACTAGGCTGGGGTCTGGGAGAAGACTAAAAGGCAATGTTATTTGAAAATTCCAGTCTGGCTATCGACTATTGAAGCATTTTCTTATCCTATAATATATAAAAAGGAACAAACAGTTAGATATGGTGAAATATTGAATGAAAAGGGTGAACTTAAATCTATGCAAAAATTAGAGGAACAAGGTATAAAGATGAATTGGTTTTCATATGCGCAAATACATTCAAGGTATGACAAAGATTCTAAAACAGAAGGTTTCTATGATAAACTGACTGACAGATAAGATTTTGACAGGTACTGATGAAAAGGTGAATAAAAAATCATATGGATATTTATTAGAAATTAAACTAGAAGAAGAACAAGTTAAAGAAACTATGATTGCTTGGAGGAAGAATTTTGGATATGGGATCGATCTAGAGAAATGGCAAAAATTGTGGTCTCAAAATTATAAAATGACTATGTCAACAGCTTATAAAGAAAATTTGTATAAGATGTTTTACAGGTGGCATTTCCCCCCGACAAGAATAGTAAGAATGTTCAAGAACAAATCTGAAAAATGTTGGAAATGTCATCAGATACCTGGCTCATATTACCAATGTTATGGACTTGTGCGGATGCCAAAAAATATTGGACTAAAATCCACACGTGGTTGGAAAAAATGACAAAAAAGCATATAGACTTGAAACCAGAGATATTTTTATTGGGAATTTTACCTGAAATATATAGTAAAGAATTGAAATACCTGATTGTAAATGTATTAACAGCAGCTAGGATTGTATTTGCCAAAAACTGGAAAAATGAGAAAATACCATTACAGGAGGAAATCATTAAGAAAATATTGGAATGTGCTGAAATGAGTAGATTGACATTTGAAATCAGAGAACAAGATGATAAACAATTTTATAAAATTTGGGATCTATTCTATTAATGGTTAGACAATAAAACATGGTAATGAAATATGTAGATTCTTAGAAAATAATAAATATATAAAGATGTATTCTTTTCTTATTATATCTACAAAATGATTTTAGGATAGATTTGAGATGATAATATGAACTGTCATAAAACAAATTAAGTAAAATATGGATTATTTCGTAAAACATGAATGAATAAAAGTATAGTCAAATGATTAACAATGATATTAATGTATTTAATATTTGATTGAAAATATGAGAAACATATACAATGTAATTGTAATTGAAGACTACGAAATGGAAGCACAAAACAATTTGTAAACCAACTGACACATTGTATGTATATATATGGAAGATGGCTTGATGTTTTTATGTTTTGTTTGTCTATGTTTGTTTTAAAAACCAATAAAAAATTAAAAAGAAAAAAAGAAATTGCCAATCAAGGGATGAGAGATCGTTGTCTATTAGATCATAGTTGCCTTTTTTGAAGTTATAATTGGGGATCACATCGTTGTGTTGATTTTTGTGTGGACATATGTTCAGACAAAAGTCAATCATGCTGTGGTCACTGTTGGAAAAGGGTTCTTTAATTTGTATTCTGTAAATTGAATTCAAAGTATTGCAGAAGATGAGATCAAGGCAGTTGTTAAGTCTAGTATTGTTGGTTACTAGTTGTTCCAGTCCCAGGTTTGTTACAGCATTGTAGAAGGTTGCATGTATGGGTTCAGTTTTACATTCGTTTAGGGTCCAGTTAATGTGAGGTAAATTGAAGTCACCAAGAAAGATAAAAGCCTGTGGGCAGGATGTTGCCCATGTTAGTAGTGAATTTAGCTTGTTTACATGTTCGATGTCATAATCAGGGGCTCTGTAACATAGTAAGAATCGAAATGTGATATTTAAGGACAGTTCACAGACGATGGTCTCAGGAAGAGCAAGCTCTTGGGTAACTTGGATGTTTTTTAAATGTAAGGACTTTTCATAGAAGATAGCAACCCCACAGTTCAGAAGATGACAGTAACAAATCATTTCTGTACTTTCACCAAGAAAACCATATGGAGATGGGTATGAATTGGCTCAACTCCAAGTAGCCTTCATCAGTAATCCTGGGACAAAATGTGGGTTTTCCCACTATAACAGACAAAGAGGGATTTATGGCATCTCCTTAAAAATTATGTATTTATTACATTTGTACTAACCAATTCTCAGTGCGGTGCAAATAAGTGTTTATTCAACAATGAACATCTGGCACTCCGGGGCAAGACTGGGCTACACAATCCTCAAAGAAGACTGCTCATTCACTTCTGCCTCAACAAGAAAAAAAATCACTTTCATTCCTTCTCAGTCAGAGGCTTGGATAATAGAAGATTGCTTCCCTGGCCAGAAACTCGGTAAGTCCATGCCCCCTGCAGACAGAGAACCCAAATTAGGGAACAACGGAGCCCACCGCTGCTTGCACACTTTTGTATCTTCCCGACCCGTGACACAACCCCCAGGGCAGCAAGGGCAGAGAAGCTCTGGAGTTTCCCCGAAGCGATTCTCCGTAGGTGTGCATGAAGCAAGGCACAGGGTCGTCTTTTTCTCTGGAGTATATATAGTGAAATCTATTAGCTTAAAGATGCCACATTTCCTCGCTGTTGTTCTTTTGCAGCAAAAGGGCTACCCCTCTGAGGGGAGGAATTGGGGGGGGTGGACCCCTCCTTTTCAAAATCTGGCTCCAACGTCATCCGCTGTTAGGCCCCGACTTGTTTGGTACCCACGATCAAAGGAAGGCTGAAGCGGGAGCGCAGCCTGGGCAGGAACTGCCGGATCCTCCCTTCGCAGCCTCTCCGCTCTTTGTAGTCTCCTTTCAAGTCAAGGGTGTCTGGTTTCAGGCGGCAAGCTGTTCGCCCCGCCCCGCCCCGCCTCGGGCCACCTCAGATCCCTCCCTTCTGGGGTTGCGGCTGGGAAGGGAAATATGAAGGGGAGTAGTTGTTGGTGCCACCGTCGCCGCCGCCGTTGCCGCTGCCGCGCTTCAGAAAAAGCCGCAGGAGGAGACGCGGAGGGGAAAAAAAGACGTCGGTCGGCGCCCGAGACTTGCTCTGAGCAGGCAGCGGCTTCGGAAGGCCAAGAACCGGGAAAGCCTTGGGAGCTGGGCGAGCGCCCGAAGCCCCTCGCCTCGGCCGGCACGAGGCGGACCGCCTTCCCCTGAAAAGTTTTGGTCGGCGGTGGGTGGGATAGCTGGAGGACTGAAGCCCAGGGCGGCAACTGCCTGAAGACCCTGGAGCCTCGCGCTGCTTTCTGCAGTTGGGGTTCGCCCCGAGGTGGGAAGAGAAGGTGCGAAGGTTTGGGGGCGGTTGGATCCCGCCAGGTGGGTTGCGCGGATCCGGACTTCATCCTTTGAGCAAGAACCTTCGCTCGCTCTTGCGCTGGGTTTTGTCTTCTTCTTTTTTTAATGATTATTATTACTAGCGCGTGTTTCCAGCTTCGTGTGCGTGAGAGGACTTGGGGGATTTGGAAGAACTTCAGGGGTGCGGAAGAAAGAGATTATTAAAGCAAAAAAGAAGAGAGGATTTTTTAAGGGCGCAAAAAAAAAAGTTTGCAATAGAGAAGTTATTGAAAAGCTGGAAATGTCCTATCGCTGCTGCGTCTTGGTTGGGTACCTGTTCCTAGTCCTGCTCTTGCATGGTGAGTACTCCAGAAAGAAACAATGCATTTGTAATAATCTTTATATTATTCTTGTAACAAGAATAATTCTTATATCTTCTAGCCAGACTTAGGGTAAAGCTAGAAAGGCTACTTCTTGCCTTAACTTCAAACTCCTATGCATTTACTAATGCTGTTATTCACTATTTACTAATAGTGAATAGAATACTTTATTGGCCAAGTGTGATTGGACACACAAGGAATTTGTCTTGGTGTAAATACTCTCAGTATACATAAAGAAAAGGTACATTCATTAAGAATCAAGAATTCTTATGGATAACAATATTTTTCCCTTTAACAATGGGTTGTCTTCTGTCATTTCAAGCCTTTTTGTGTTGTAATGGGAAACAATATTTTAAATGTTTCCTTTTTGGTGTGCAAATGGTTAGAGACATTAGCCTAGTTTTTATTGGAGGTATTCTCATGTCAACCAGGCTTCTCATTGCCTTGAAAGAGGCACATTGGTGAACAATTTAAATATGCAATATTTCTGAGGCTGATTTTTTTTTATTAAAAATGTCAGCTCCAAAAGCAGGAATTGCTGTATAGATGCATTCATTATAAAGTCTGTTGCATATTTGATATATAAGATATTGAAAGATCTAATACAGTATTTAAGTAGAGAGAAATTGGAGATTTTGCTTTGTTATCCATATTAATATAGTTTTGCCTGTTTAGAAGTTTCATAAAAGAGCTTCCCAGTTTTATTTTCTTAAATGTGCACCTTAATGTCACTATGGCCTTAATAGAGAGGCCAAGTTGACTTCTATATCCAAGAAGACCTAGAATAAAGGGTCTTAGGCCACCAACCCAAACTAGTGTTTACTTCAGATGCATGATTCACTAATAAAATGATTGTTATATTGCAGTCACAGTTCTTTTTCATTTAATGATGAAATGCCAAGATGCGTTCTAATGAGGAGGGTGTTTGTCTACAAGTCTACAAGTTATGTACATAAAAGTAACAACAGGATCACTTCAAGCACTTGTAGAATTTATCTTATGTTCCCAACAATACCTAGCTCAGCACTCCACAAATGAGTAATGAACCCATAGTGGTCTTTCGTAGTTTGACCCCAAAATTAGTATCCAAGAGTACTGAGCACTGTTTTTAAACGTATGGTTTTTTGTTATTGCCAAATCTTTTAAATTCATTTTAAAACAGGGATATAACCTCATACTATAGAAATGGATTCTAGAAGCTACAGTACATGCTATGTAAGAAAATACATTTCTTGGCCTGCCTTGACTTTAATGTTCATTAATGTGTATTGCAGTGTTATTCCATACTATTAGTGATGTAATGTACCTCTGACATGATGCTCTCCAGTTTTCTTATTTTCTAGACTGTAAAGTCCATTATTTTAGTCTTTTTGCAAATGGAAGATAATAACTGCATCATTTTTGCACCTTTTCTATTGCTCTACTGTCATTTTTGAGATGGGATATCTAGAACTGTAACTAAAATTGCAGATGATGTAATACTACACATGTCTGTAATAGCATTATGATATATCTATCTTATTTTCAGTCTTTTAAAAAGTTTTTTTTACTGTTGCTGTAAAATCTGGTATTCGTATTCTCCTGCTACAGTTCCAATGTCTTCCAATAATTATAGCTGCTTCATACATCATCAAAGTGTACAAGTGATTAGGATTTTTCTCTTTTGCACTAAAGCAAATTTCAGGAAATTTGAATTAGAGAGAAGAATGTAAGGGAAAATTCAACTGTGCAAAAAGCCCATTTACTTGTTGCATCCAATTCCAAATCACTATACATCCATAGAGGAACCTTTACTCTTTTCACCCCGCTTCTTCTTCTCATTTATTAATTGACAAGAGGACTTTTAAGTTTATATAGGAGCTTATATTTATATAGAAGTCTATTAAAAACAACTATAGATTTAAAAAAAATTGTTAAGAACAGTGCTAATATTCTTGCAGCAAGGCTTGTTATTTCATAAAATTCTAGCTTTGGTGATCTCCAGTTTAGAATGTCCATAAAAGTTTGTAATGTTTTATTCTAAGTTATAACTGAGGAACCTCGGGTTCTCCACTTATGAGGTCTAGTTCCCAGCTAGGATAAATGAATGATTGGAATTCTAACCCAGTAACATTAAGTTTTCCACCTTACTCTAAATGTTATCTGATAGAAATGTTTATTCATTGGATGAATGAGTATCTGAATAGTTATCCAGTATCTGTTAAATTAATACAAATTTAACATCAGCATTTGAACACAGATGTGGATTTTATACAGGTGTTTTAAACACATAGATGTTACCTTTCCATCTGTTTGGATGCTCTCAAATGCAGAAATGCCACTCCATCATGATTAAAAAATCTGTACCTTCTAGGTAACTTGTCATTTTATAGATAAAAGGACTGCTTTCAAAAAAGGTATTTATTCTCCTCCAGTAACTCAGCACAACGTATACAGGCTATATAAATATATCTGGTTGAAACAGACATGCCTGGACGCCAAGGTGTACTTTAAAATTCTCTGATCTGGGAGTCTAGAAGTTAGAAGGGAAGGTTTGAAGTTAGAGGCTAAGTAAAGAGAGAAGGTATAATTATAGGGTTAGATCATAGGCTCATCTGCTTAGAATTACCAAGCTGTTTTAAACTTTGGCTGAAATGTGAAACAAATCAGGGCCAGTAGTCAGATCAAAACAGCCTCTACCAAGAGAATTTGAAACGGGGAGTTTTGCTTGTCCCTCCCTCAGAGTACTATCAAATTGGGAACATGAGAAAAGAAAAAAGAGGGGACACAAAAAATCAATTGTTAAGGCTATAGTAAACATAGGGGGAAAGAACGTAATAGAAAATCATAACTCTTTTGCATTCAAGTAAGGACAGACAATTGGATGGGCAGTGCTGGCCTCTTGTGTATGAGTGCATTTTTTTGTTGCTAAATTTATGTAACATTCATCATGGTGACATTTGTTTATAAATAAAGGAATCTATAGAGTAAAGCAACTGCCACCTTTATGTTTTATATAATGCAGCTAACTGAAGAATCTATCAGTTTCTGGTATGTATCTTAAATCTTTTATTACTGTCATTAAAGATTTAAGCTCATTTTTTCCCCTGAACTAATATCTCTTAAGTCACTGGTTCACAATCTGGTTGTGAGTGTGCGAACATGCACATACGTGTTGTATGATACACATAGAATCAAAGGGCCTGAGGTCCAACTTGGGAGAAATAAAAGGAGATTTTAATGCTTATATATATTCTGTCACTACATTTATAATTTACTGTCTCAGCAACTTTAGTCCTCGACTTGCGATCACAATTGGGGACCAGAATTTCCATTGCTAAGCGAGGCAGTTGTTAAGTGAGTCACACCCAATTTTATGACCTTTTTTGCCATTATTATAAATAAATCACCGCCATTGTTAAGTGAATCACATTACATGGTTGTTAAGCAAATTCAGCCTTCCCCGTTGAGTTTGCTTGTCAGAAATGGCTAGGAAGGTCACAAATGATGATCACAAGATTCTGGGATTGTCATAAAAAACATGCTGATTGACAAGTACCAGGATTTTAATAATGTGACCACTGTGTAAATACCAGTTGTAAGTCATTTTTTCAGTGCCATTGTAACTTCAAGTAGTTGCAAAATGAAGGGTTGTTTTTATATATATATCGTAGATTTTCACGGGTACAGGTATGTAGGTCTAGGTGTGTTTGGGTCTTTTCACGTGTAAGATTAAGAGTATCTTGGCGACGTTTCAGCGAGGTCCCACTTGCCATCCTCAGGCTGGTGCTTTCGGCTTTGTGCCAGTGCAAGCATATATGTATGTATGTATGTATGTATGTATGTATGTATGTATGTTATTCAGCTTTGTTCGGGTATTTTCCCACGTCATTATAGTTGTGCTTTTAAAGTTGTAGCAACGTTTAGGCAGAATCTCATCTGCCATCATCAGGCTTCTGTATTGTGTTCGTCTGTGAGTCAGACTGTAAAACAACTGTAAACAACTGTAAAAGTCTGACTCACAGACGAACACAATACAGAAGCCTGATGATGGCAGATGAGATTCTGCCGAAACGTTGCTACAACTATAATGACGTGGGAAAATACCCAAACAAAGCTGAATAATATATATAATTTTTGTTGCCTTAAAATGTGATGAATTTGTTGAACTAGTTGGAGATGAATGGATGAATTTGTTGAATTAGTTGAATGTGATGAATTTGTTGAATTAGTTGGAGAATAGATTTGTCAGACTATTAACTCTGATAATCAAGCAAGAGTTTGCATATTAAGAAACAGTACATTTCTGAACTTCAGTTTCTTGCATGCAAACACACATTGCCTCCCGTGTCTTGTTTGTGGGTTTCCTATAAGCATCTGGCAGGCTATTGTTGGAAGCAGATGGCAGAGATAATCTAAATGGACTTCTGATGTCTTTGATTTTTGTTCTAAACATGGAGAGTCTTTGTCTATTATTTCTATGACTCATACTCTCTGAATCTTTTCCAATTCCACCACTGGTCAAAACTTGAAAATCTTGTCTGGAAGATTATATCTGTTGGAGCTGTATAATAGTAATATTACATCCCAATCTCAGGACTTTTCTTTTTCTATGGCAGACTAAATTATTCCTTCAGGTCAACTATTAAAATTGACATTTATCATTAATGATTGTTTAGGCAAGATAAAATTGAAACAAATCTGTCAAGATACTAGAGTTGTATCTAACCAAGCGGAACTACATGTGGCAATTTGTAATTTATTATGTATATTTATATCAAATATACAAAAACTCTGCTATATATTTGAAAATTGAATTAATTTCCTTATCTACTGACATTATATAATATAATAAAATGTAAATTGATAAAATTAACTGTATAGAGCAAGGATGTCAAAGTTGTGTTGTCACTGCGGCTTCACGTGACATATCAGAACTTTTTTCCCCCTCACTAAACCGGCAGGACTTGGGGCCAGCATGTGACATATCTGGCCCGCGG